GGAAAGAGGCAGGGCTGCTGTGTCCTTGCTCCCGCTCAGTGTAACTGTGGCCTCGCCGTGGCCCCGCCGTGATCACTGCCCCGCATCCCCTGGGAGCGGGGCCAGGCTGGATGTTAATGGATGGAGCACGAAGTCCCGGCTCCTTAATGCACTGACGACCATTAGTGCTCTTGCTCTTCTGAGCCTCGTTATCAGTGGAGCACTCCGCAGGCCACTTCCTCCCAGCCCCTCGCCTTCCCCTTCCCTTTCTTTTCCTCTGATTGTTTGCAGAGTACCCCACTGCCTCCCTCCCCACTGCTGTGGGCCTCTTTGTCCCCATCTACAGGCTCCCTGTGGCCTCTGGTTTCCGGCTCCCAGGACTTTGATCCCGTTCCCCAACGTGAGCGCATGCCCCAGTTCTGATAGCAGGTTCCTAGATTTTGCTGCTGTGTCTGGGCACCTTGCCCACCTGCTGGCTCTAGTCTTGTCATCCTGGCCTGTCCCAGGACCAGTGCAGCCCCTCATTCTTGATCCACCCTGTCCTGCCCTGCCCTGCTGGACAGTTCTGGCCAAATGAGGACAGTGGCCTTCAGTGCACAGGACCCTGGGGGATGTGTCAGTCCTCCTGACACCTGTCAGTGTTGTCCCTGGGCTCTATGTCACACCTGTCTCAAGATATCTTCCTGGCACCTGACAGGGCCTCTGCCCTCTCGACCCTCAAGCTGTTGTCCTTGCCAGGCCCCTCTCAGAACCTCGCTGCTGGTCAGAGGCACAGAGGCGTGCCCCTAGGTAGGGCAATCTTTGTGGGCAGGCGGCCACCCAGCACTGCTGGTTGGGTCCATAGAAGCCAGCTCCTCTGTGAGGTGGGGGTAAGCCCCAGTGAACTTCCCCCTGGGTGAGCATACTCATGCAGGGTAGGAGAAAGGTGCTCTGTCACCCATCGTCACATTATCAAGTCTGGCTGAAGTGCCTTGGTCACCTAGGAACTGGAAGACCCCGAGTTCAGGGTACTTCTGTACAACATACACGTAAGGGACAGTTCCAGACCTGTGGGCTCATTGTCATCACCAAGATGAACGCAAGGGAAGGGACTCATCCTGTGAGACAGGAAAGGCTCAGGGAGGAGGGGACATGGAAGGAGATTTCTGGCAGGTCCAAGAAAGGCTGCTTTTCTAAGGGCTATGGCTTGTGTAAGGACAGGGGGCTCAAAGGCATCTGTCCGGGAACTATGGGCAGTTCAGGCATGGTGCAGGAAGCACTCGTGCGAAGGCTGCTGAAATGGACCCGGGCTGAATCCAGGTAGGCCCGGGTGTCTACTAAGGAGCTGGAGCATGCCATGACCAGAGGGGGATTAGTCTGGGGACAAAGCCCAGCTTTTGGGAGACCAAAAGTCGAAGCTGGCCTGAGACTGTCAGCTGAACTCTACAGGAAATGGGGGTAGTTGTGAGCAAACGAGTCAAGGCAATAGGAAGGACTCTTAGAAGGACTAGACCTGAGATGCAGGGCCAGCCTGGGGTGGGGGCAAGAACGTGCTGGCTCAGATGGGGCAGTGTAGGGAGTCCCAGGGCCTGGCCACAGGAAACAGGACCATGCGACCACCCTCCTCTGCTCCCAGACAGTCCCGGCAGCTGTTCTGTGGCTGCCAGGTTCAGTTGCTGGGAGGGGGCGGTGGGCACATGGCCTGCTGGGCTCCTCACCAGGGGTTGTCCATTTCTGAGCAAGGCTGGGCCTTGCTGTGCTGGGAGCTGACACTTGTGCCATTCTATGTCCAGGTGGGGTGGACACATACCAGGGCCTAGTCTCCAGGAAGCCATCCCCCACCCCCGATCCTGGCATCAAGACTAAAGTAGTCGTTGTCTCTGCATCTCTGTTTATGTAGATTAGAGCTAAGCAAGGTAGCCTGGCCCCACCCACGACAGCAAGCACAAGTCACCCACCTTGACTGATCCCCGGCAGGAGGGTCACCTGTACCTGAGGGAGATGGAGGATATTTGCAGATATGCTGAGAGAGCCCCGACGGTGTGCCAGGACCCTTTGGGGCACGGGCTGTTACCTCACTTAGTGCTCACACCAGCTCCGTGGTGCTGGTGCTCCTACTTCACAGAGGAGGGACACGAAGCACCGTGAGGCTGAGCAGTTGCCCGAGTCAGGCAGCTTATCAGCGGCAGGCAGGGATTTGGAGTGCCGGGGTGGTCTGGCTCCAACACTGAGCGTCTAACCTCCACCATGGCATCTGGCGGCCGAGGAGGGAGGTATTCTGAGCAATGAAAGAATGTTCCCTCCTCCTGCACAGTCCTATCTGCTGTCATAGATACTCGTGGGGCGGCAGGCTCTGTCCCCATCCTGGCAGAACTCACAGTCAGTCACATGCATTGGTCACAGAGTACAAGTTTAAAGACAGAGTGACGCTGATGCTGTGAGAACACAGAGGAGGACGTGAGGGCAGCTGGGTGGAGTCCGGGAAGGCTTCACAGAGGAGGTGACATTTCAGCTGACTTGAAAAGGGAATGAAAATATTTAGAGAACAAGCTCAAGGGCAGCAGCCCTTTCAGGGTGAAGGAGCTGGTTATGAAGATGAACCCAGAGAAGTCAGAGGCCACCCCTAGAGGACCTCCCTGGCTAAGGAGGAGCCAGGAAGAGGTTAAACAATAGAGATTGGTTAGAACCATGGCTCTGGTCTGTGCTCTGATGCAGGAGGGGTCAGGATAGCAGGGAGCCAGCAAGCAGCCTGGTCAGTCCTCAGGGAAGCTCCCGTGGCAGGGGTGCAGCCCCCATTCCATCCCCTCCAGGGGCTGGCGGTCTTGGTTCTGTCCTCACTCACCGCCCATCTAGGCTGTTGCTTTGTTCCGGCCATCTCAGCAGTTTCCCAGGAGGCAGGATGTCCCAACTTGAGCTTCTGAGATAAGGGGATAATGACAGCAAGGGTAACCTGGAGGCCCTGAGGAAGCACCTGCAGACCTCTGAGCCACAGCTCAGGAAGCAGCGGCTGTGCAGTCGGAGACCCCCACACCTTACCCACCCGGCTGGAGACCGAGTGACCCTGCTCAGACCCAGGGTCTGGCTCCTGGTGAGAGCCACAGAGCTTTGCACTGCAAGTGCATCCTCCACTAATTTGCTGTGTGATTTGGGAAGACACTTGGTCTCTCTGAGCCTCTGTAGTGTGGGGTAGAGGTGGAAGGAAAACACTGCTATCTGAGTCTGTTTTCTGTCAGTAATGACTGAATGCCATGACAGTAATATAAGAGGAATAGAGGTTTATTTACTTCACAGTTTCGGAGACCAAGGTCAAGGAGCTGCACCTCATGTAGGTCTTCTTGCTGGTGGCAGCTCTCTGCAGAGTCCTGAGGCCATGCAGGACAGTGCGAGGATAAGAGCAAGCACATCTGTCTATCTCTCTCTCTCACTTCCTCTCCTTACAAACCCACCAGATTCAATCATGGGGCCTCCGCCCTGATGACTTTCAACACCAGCATATGATTAAGTTTTCACCCACTTAATCCCATCAAACTTGAGTACTTGAAGTATTTGAGTATTTAAAAGCAGAGTCGGGGCTGGGGAGGACTCATGCAAACCACACACCCACTTCGTAGGCATGCATGACGATGGAGTGAGTGAGGATGTCACTTCACAGGCTCTGTGCTGCTGCAAAGCATTAGGGGAGTACGTGGCTTGTGCTTCTGGGGGTCAACACCAGGACAGGGAGACCAGAGCAGACACTTAAAAGGCCTCAGGCTGGCTGTAGTGAAAAGTGCACTGTTCTGGGTGCACCTTTGACCCTGTTCCTAACTCCTTGCCTTGTGGTTTTGCTTGATGATGTTGAGTCCCCTCCTGGGTCTGAGTCTCAGTCCTTCCCTGTGCAGAAAAGACAGCAATTCCTGTCCAGCAGGTTGGGCTACTGGGGAGGAGGGGGACATTCCAGGGAGCAGCCTGAGGAGACCCATGACACCTCTTCTGCTCTGCCCTTCCAGTGGGAACGCCTCTGGTTCCTGCTCCTCACCATCACCTTCAGCCTGGTGCTCACCTGGCTCTACTTCTGGTGGGAAGTCCATAATGACTACGATGAATTCAACTGGTAAGTTTGGGGTGGGCTCAACTCTTCCCTGAGGCTGACCGGCAAAGCTCTGCCACCAGCTATCTGGGTGGCCTTGGGCCAGTTTCTGTCCTGCTCAACTGCAGGACTTTGGGGAGGCTGCTGTGAGACTGTGGGTGAGAGGTGGGGCCATCACAGGCTGGTGATAAAGTAGAAAACAGGACAGCGCCATGCCCCGAGGGAAGTCCCTGGGCTTAGGGAAGGCTTCCTATAGGAGGAAGCATGGGACCAGACTCTGAAGGATGGCTAGGATTGGAACCCTGATCTCTGACAGCTGGTCTCCTTGATAACTCCAGTGATTCAGCCTGCATTACTGGGCTCCTGAAGAGATGTGGGGAGCCTGAAAGAAAGGGCTGAGCAGGAGTGAGGCACGCTGGGAAGACCAGAGTGCTCTTCCCACTGCTGCTATCATGGAAAATAGGGCTGCAAGCCTGGGGTGGGAGCCCCTTCAGGGCCAGGTGTGGAGACCTAGCCCCAGGTTCCACAGCCCACTGGGGCACAGGTCTGGAAGCCAGGCCTCCTCACTCCTTATCTAGAGCAGTTTCTTCCTTTTGAAGAGCAGGTCTCTGTGACTGTGAGCAAGGTAGGTTTCTGTGACTGTGAGCAAGTGTCTGGTGCTCCCCAAGCCCCTCTGTCCTCTTCTGTAAAATGGGTTAACTGCAACCTCATCAGGTCTTTCTGAGGATGAAATAAGGTCACGGATGTGAGAGGGCTCAAACTCCATCCAGTATACGGGCTGCTCCCGGAAGAGTCTCCGGCTGGAAGGTACTGAGTAGGGTGGCAGAACTCCAGGCTGTGTTCTAGGATTCCGATCCCGGAACTCTGCTCATGGGGTCTGGGCATCCACTCTTCAAGTGCAGCCCAGGCTATGCCTCTGTTACTAACAAGCAAATAAAGGCCATGTTACTGCCCTGCTCCTGCCCCACAGCAGCCCAGCAAGATGAGCTGGAGCCCCGGCTGTGTCCCTGAGGTGGACGCTGGCCTTTAGTAAATGCCATACATCAATTATTCATCTTGGCGGACGTCCAAGGCACGGGCACTCTCGTGAGTAAATGAAAACATTCCCTGGCCCTGACTGCAGGCCCTGAGCAGTTCTGCTGAAC